ATGAAAGCGGAAGGGCTGAATGGGTCGGAAGGTGAAGGGAAATGAGGGAAAATGAGGTAGTTACGTGAGTTAGAAATTCAGGCTGGGACGGACCAGGCTTACCGGTGCGATCATGCGTTTTTGCAGTAAACTTGAAACAGTTAGGTCGCTAACTGTATGGAGGGTTGTTGCTTGTATTTAATATGTTTACTCGTTAGCATAAATCTTCGTAAATTTTGCATAAAGGAGAGTGGAAAATTTCCGTTGAACGGTCGTTCATTGGGAAATGAACAGGCTGTTCAATGAGCAATTTTTTCGCCAAAATTTTCGCGTGCCCTTGCTACGGGGGGGGACGGGTGAACTTTTAAAGTTAAAGTTCTGCGGAGTTGAGGAAAATCCCCTTAAAATTTCAGCCTTTCGTCTTTTCTTGTTCACGAGTTAGCAGTTTTCCTGCCAGAAATTCCATGTGCTTGCTTGTGGGCTTCGACTTGCGTGAAGCGCACGCTGCATTTCTGAGGTGACACATGGCTGGGGAACTTTTGACAAAATCTAACGTCAAAGCTTGCTTGGTTGTAAACTTGAAACATCTGGACAGACGCACACACACATGCATGTACGTGTACATATATACACATGCATATATACACACTCATACATGTACGTGTACGTATATGCACATACATACACGCACAAACACACACACACACACACCGTAGGTCGTCACACTATGCGTTTCTGCATTTGCATACATGCAAAAATGCACAACGGAGGTAAGAGTGAAGTTTCGAATCTCAGCTCTGTCATATGCTTTAAAGTATTCCAGGGGGTTTACCGCCCCGAGGGCCATAATTACATGTCCTCTTTGTTAATTACCATACCAGCATCATCTGATTTTCCATTCTCACAAATGCTATTCTTTCGCAAATGGCGTCCAGCAATTAATAGCGATTATTTTAGAGCGTATGTTGTGGGAGATTAGAAGTACGGTACTGTTGTTCATCAAACGAAATATACAGACATTCCTTGCGAATGGTCAAAAAAAAAGAAAAACAGGATAATGCACAACAATTATAAGAAAATGACATTCTAATAGTTCCAGACAAATTTTTGAGAATTATCGGCTATGTTTGTT